GTTGAAGTGGGAAAAGCCAAGCCAATAGCAAATGGTGTTAAAACAACTCGATAGTTACATGCAAAAGAATAAAAAGGAAACTTTAACTAACACAACATACAAAAACTGACTCACAATGGGGAGGGGGCACCTGGGTGGCTCATTTGGTTAAACCTCTGACTCTTGGTTTCTGCCTAGGTCATGATCTCATGGATGGTGAGATCCAGCCCCATCTCAGGCTCCCCATGCAGTGGGGAATCTGCTTGGAGATGCTCTTCCTCTGCCTCGCCCCCTGTTCATGTTCTCTTTCTCTCCCTCTTTAAAATAAATAAATAAATCTTTAAAAAATTAACTCATAATGGATCAATGATGGAAATGTAAGAGTTAAGTTTGGAAAACTCTTGGGAGAAAACAGAGGAAAAGCTTCATGACATTGGATTTAGCACTAATTTCTTGAATATGACACCAATAGCATAGACAACAAAAGAAGAAATAGATAAATTGCACTTGATTGAAATTCAGTCGAGTCCATTGAAATTATAACTTTTTGTGCATCAAAGTACACCATCAAGAAAATAAAGACTGGAGCAGTTTCTCAGAATGTTAAACATGGAATTGTCATACAACCCAACAATTCTATTCCTGGGCATAACCCAAGAAAGTTCATAGCATATTTTCACAAAAATGCATACAAATGTTTATAACAGCATTGTTCATAATTGCCCCAAAGAAGAAACAACCCAAATGTCCATCAAGTGATGAATGGTTAAATAAAATGTGGTGTGTTCCTACAATGGAAAAGTATTCAGCCATAGAAAGGAATGAAGTACTGACACATGGATTACCTTGAAAACATGCTAAGCAAAAGAAGCTTGTCACAAGAGGACACATACACAGTTGATCCTTGATCAACGTGGGATTGAACTGCATGAGTTTACCTATATGCAATTTTTCGAAAGTCCACACTATATTTCCTCTTTCTTAAAATTTTCTTTTCTTTTCTTTTCTTTAAATTTTATTTATTTATTTAACAGAGAGAGAGATCACAAGTAGGCAGAGAGGCAGGCACAGAGAGAGGGGGGAAGGAGGCCCCCTGCTGAGCAGAGAGCTCGAATTGGGGCTTGATCCCAGGACCCTGGGATCATGACCTGAGCCGAAGGCAGAGGCTTTAATCCACTGAGCCACCCAGGCACCCCTCTTACAATTTTCTTAATAATGTTTTCTTTTCTCTAGCTGACTTTATCATAAGAAAACAGAATATAACACATATAAATATGTGTTAAAATGTGGATTATTGTTTATGTTATCAGTAAGGCTTCCCCGTCAGTAGTGAGCTATTAGTAGTTAAATCTGGGGGCAGTCAAGAGTTATACACAGGTTTTCAACTGCACAGGGAATTGGCCTCCCTAACCCCCTTTTGTTCAAGGGTCAACTGTAGTATGATTCCATTTATAGGAAACAACCAGAATAAGCAAATCTACAAAGGTAAAGAGTAGATTAGTGGCTCCCCAGGTCTGGGAAAGGAAGGAAGGGGGAGTAACTGCTAATGAGTTGTACTTTGGGGCTTCTTTTGAGGGTGATGAAAATGTTCTGGAATTAGGTAGGGATGATGGTTGCATAACTTTGTGAGGGTTGCTCAACCCTTGGTGATTTCTATACTAAAAACCACTGAATTGTACATGTTAAAAGGGTGAATTTTATGGCATATAAATCTCAATTTTTATATGTGGAGTGAAGGAAAGGAGGGAGGGGGATATAGTCACTGTAGATTCGGAGATTCCAGAGGGCAGAGGTGAAAAGGCTTAGGAGAGAGGGAAAGCACGAGAGTCTATCTGGATGGAGAAGGAAGGTAACACCTGGGCAGTGATGAGGGAGGGAAGGAGAGGAGGCCTGGAGGGATGGGGGGGGGGTCAAGTGTTCCAGGAGCCGTGGCCCAGCAGATTCCAGGGTTTAGAGGGACCAAGGCATCTTGGGAAGCCAACAGGCTCAGCTTCCCTGATAGTACTGGGATGTGGTCACAGTCCAGATGACTGGAGGAAAAGAAGGGGGCTCCCAGGGTGGCTACCTGGGATCTAGAGATGGAAGTTTCTAGAAATAAGGCAGTGGAGCAAAGCAGGCTGGCAGCGGGAAGGGGACACTGTGCCTTCCTGGGCTTGAATGTGGTTCCCAGATCTTGGACTCCCTGTAGGAAGTGAAGTCCTGTGAATCCCCAAGAGAAAGATCAGATTCGAAAATGCCAAGAACCACTGCACTCTGTCGGAGCTCTCTGTACGAAAACAAGCCAGAGAAGGTTATACAAATAAGCAAAAGGGATCCAGGGCCAGGGGCCAATCTGAGCGGTTACTTCCTGCTGTTGTTTATTGAGTTAGGAGCTGTTACGTGAAAATTGAACTATCAGAAACAGAGGTGGCCGGTTTGTCAGGCATTCACGCGGCCATTTATTAAGCATTTAGAAATGCCAGGGACTGTGCTTGGAATGCTGGATGCAGACTAAGTACTGCCTCCCAAGAAGCTTGTGGAAACGGGGGCAGGGAACGATAAACTAATCTCTAAGTAAGTAATTACAAAATAATCCATTACAAGCATTTAAGAACCAGGAAAAGAATAAGGAGCTACGACTCTGTGTAACAGGAATTGAATGGAACCTGGGGGTCAGGGCATTTCTCTGAAGACATGACATTTCTACTATCCACCAAAAGGGAGTGGGAAGTGAGGGGGTTGCATAGGAAGGCCTTGGGGCAGGAAGGAGCTTGAGGCCTGAGCTGGAGTTAAACCTTGAGCCGCAGCTGTGGAAAGTAGAGAGTCACAGCCAGAGAAGCAGAAAGAGCCAGATCAGGCAGGCATTATGGGCTAAGTGGGAGATTCCAGGCTTCATTCCAAGAACAAAGGGAGTGGAGGGGGACAATAGTAGGGGAAAGACAGGGGACAGCAAAGCTCCAAGAGGGGGCAGTAGAGGAGAGTGGTTAAGGAGCAGGGAGTCTGGAGGCAGATGGCATGGGTTCAAATCCCAGGTCTGCCACTACAACCCATGTGACCAAGGTCCAGGTCAGCAAACCTCTCTGTACCTCAGTCTCCTCCTCTCTAAAATGGGATAACAACAGTACTTACTTCAGAGGATCCTATCAAGAGGATTCAATGATAAAAGCTTGGCTCATACTGAGTGAGGAAGAATTGCTGATACGGGTAGGGTTGGCAGGAGCAACTCTATCCCGGGGATTCTCCCCCACCTCCAGACAGCCATTTTTTGGTGCTAAGAGCTATTGGCATTCAGGAAAGTTCTGGCTTTTCTAGTGGCTGCCACTTTGAAGGCAAGAGGCTCTTGGCCTTGGAAGACCAATGCTGGCAGCATCGACCCTGTGGCTCTGGCTATCCAGTGAGCTCCTCCAGAATAGGGACCCTGCTGACACTCTGCCTTATCAGGGCCTGGAACGTGGGAGGTGCTCAGTACTCGTTGGAGAGACAGATTGCAAATGAATGAATGGATGAATGAATGAACACATGGATGGAGCTGCGAAGAGTACTTACACTCTGCGTAAATGATGAGCATTCCCTAGGTGAGGGCCATTCCCGCCTGGAGGCCCTTCCATCCATAGCTTGTCCCATTCCGTTCTCTGCCATCTTGTGAAGCAGGGGCTACCAGGAGACACTTCCAGTAAGGGAATGAACTTGGGAAGGAGTCCTCTTTGGGGAGCCCTGGCCATACATCAGGGACTCTAATTATTGAGAAGCTCATCTAAGTTGTTGCCCCAAAAAAGGGCTTTTGGCTAGAAGTCGGGCTCCTGGAAGCAGGAATTCAGCTGGAAAGCAAGCGATGCTCGAAATAGTTTCTCTAAAGCTCGAGCTGCATACACTTCATGGCTATGATCTCATCTTCCTTAGCAAGGCACAGGAGTGACGGGGTATTTCACTTGTTTTTGAGAGGGAGAAGAGGTGCATCCTAGTGAGGCATAGACACCCCTCCCAACTCCCACCCCAGCAACCTGGCGGGGGGCTCAGAGCAGAACCCAGGCATCCTCGGTTCCCGGCTGGTAGAACAACCCCCCGGCACACCCCCACACCCCATCTCAGAGAAGACAGGGAGCAGATCAGCTGGAAAGGCAGTGGGAGAACTGCCTTTGATCTTCCCCTTGCCCTCTCATGTTCCAATGGGAGCCCCACACGCAACTTCCTGCAGGCTGCTGCCCCCCTTCCTCCCAGCCAGCGCCAGCAACCCGCACCGCAAGCTGCCCCCTTCCCCAGCAGCCCTGCTGGCTTCTTCTCCAGAGACTATTATTTTGGGAGAGTGCTGAGTTCAGCACTGCGGCAAGGTGCAGTCAGAGGAGCCCTTCTGTCCTTAGCTGGCCCTCTGGAGCTGTCCTCGGGTCCAGGGCGGCCCCAAGAGCAGTGGCCCCTTCTGCACAGGGTCACTGTGTCCTGGGTCCACCTACCATCCGTCAGTCCCAAGGCTGTCAAGGCAGGTGGCACAGAACTGTGGGCGGGGGACGCAGAGCTGTCCAAGGGCTCAGCCCATCCAGACCGCAGCTCCTGGAGAGACGATCAAGGTCTTGCTCTCGCAAGCACCACAGGATCCGCGCTCTTGCCCCCCCAGCCCAAAGCCTGGGGTCACTGGCTTCCCAGGGTTTGCCTTAAAGCCAAAGGAGAAGGCTGCCTGGCCTAGGGCCAGCTGATTGCACACGGGGCGAGCGGCAGGGATAGGACGCATTGCTGGGAAGAGAGACTTATGTAAGCCCTTCTGCCCTAGCCACGGAGATTAGTGGCCAGCAAAGCCCTGCTCCAACAGGGCCGGGGCCCCAGCCAGGACTGCAAACTGAGTCCGGCTTGGAGTAGGCCCAGGTCCTCCCAAGGTATCCGTGTCCTGGTGGCAGATTGGCGGCTGGAGCCCAGGCAGCTGCCTGCCCTTCTCCTTCTGCTTACCACTGGTCTCTGTTCCTCCAAGTGGGCCCCCGGGGTGGGGACACGCAGGGTGAGAAGGGCGCCTCCTGCAGAGGGCCCCCCAGCTCTAAAAGTTCCTTTCGTTCCAGGTGTCCACGGACTGGACAATGAGGCTGGCCGTGGCAGCCCTGTTTCTGGGTCTCACGATGGTGGTCTCCAGAGATGTGGAGGAAGGCGACTTATGTTTGTACGAGCCCCTGTCTGACGCCGATGCTGTCCTCTGCAAGTAAGGCCGGGCGGGAATCCGGAGAGCGAGCAGGCAGGTCAAAATGGGGCTTGAGATCGCCGGGAGGCGTGTCTGCTGAACCAGGCAGCACTGTCTCCTCAGGCAGCCCCTGTGGACTGGCAAAGAGTAAGTGAGCCTGGGAGAACACCTGGATGAGGACGGCATAAGGAAAGCACTTGAGACGAGCTCCCGCCTTCCAGAAGGCGGGCTCCCAGCCCCAGAGGGTATACAGATCTGGTCAGCTCCCCCTTGTACCCTGGGACCTCCAGACCCTAGAGGCTGGCCTCACCCTCTCTGCTGGGACCCTGAGGGACCCTCCCTCTCCATGGCCCAGACTGCTCCCTCCCCCCAAGCAAAGTGGCATTTTAAAGAACAGTGGCAGTTGACAGAGGGTGTGAGATTGGACCCTCCCGTGAGGGAGGCCGTCATTAGCTTTCCAGGGGTGAAGCCCCAGGAGTGTGTGACAGGTGGGTCTTTTAGGGAGTGTGGCCTCTGGGTGCTGTCTAGAGAAGAGGCTGGGCCTCAGGGGTGGGCTTCTTCCTGAAGGTTCTCCCTGCCTGAGTCAAAGTTCAGCTCTCTCCTCATGGACTGCCAGTTAGAAAAGCCAGTCCTGATTGGCCTGGACTCATGGCTCATCCTGAGGGCGACCCTAGGCCACTTTGCCGCCAACCCTTTCTGCCCATTTGGTAGCCGAGGGGACTGGCATCCCATTGAAGCCATTGGAAGGGAGAGTGTAGGGAAGAACCCTCCTCTCTACTTGGTCTCCTTGTGTACATTTGAATTCCTCCTAATGTGACTTCTAGAAAGATAAATACATATTTTCCCTTGAAAAGTTAGGTAGCTGAAACCGCACCCCCCCCCACAAAGATGGTACGCATTTTTATCAGTACCTTTATTAAACTCTGGTGAAACCATTGTGGGTGAAGTTTTGTGTGGGAGGAGGAGGGAACAGTGGCTGCCTCTCACATGTGGGCTCCAGGCCTCTAGGTGCTCCGTGGAGTGGAACCTTCCTGGGGGCGGCCGCCATTTTATTCGGGTAGGCAGGAGATCTAGTTCCCATGAGCTGGGGAGGTGGGCTGGGCCAGCCACGATCAGGCCCCCTTGCAGAATGCCTCTGTGCTTCCCACATTCATTACAGAACACTTAGAAAGTGATTGTGTGTATACGGTCCCTGGCGGTGACCAGCCTGGGCCCCAGCTGCCCTAGGGCCCCAGCTCCCTCCACACACACGCTGGTGTCCTGGTGGCCTGAGAGCTCTGGGGCATGGAGGGAGCCCCAACTTGTGTATCAGCATCCTCACAGCCAAAGAGGGGGCTCCAGGTATTAAATAACCAGTCCACAGCACTCCCACACCCTGCAAGTGTCAGAGCCGGGGTTCAGCCCCTTCTGTCTGACTCTGCACCCAATACTCTTTCTCACCCGCCTCCGGCCGCTGACCTTCATGCAGGGCCAGAGCTTCTCAAACCCAAGGGAAGGGGAGCTTTCTTAGTCGCCTTCCCGCAGCTCTAACAAAATGCCAGCTCAGGGCGCCTTATAAACAGCAGAAATGTACTTTCTCGTCCTTCTTGCAAGTGCCGGCACATCCGGTGAGAACCCGCTTCCTGATTCAGAGACGGCCGTCCTCTCGCCGTGCCCTTGCCTAGTGGATGCACCCCCTGGAGGCCCCTGCTTCACGACACCCTCACACTGGGGGCTGGGGTTCAGCTTATGAGTTTGGGGGGAGGGGCAACTGCAATTAAATCCTTCGCAGGAGCTGTTCTCAGGACTGCCTAGAATACACCAGCAGACCCCCAGTCTGAGAAACACAAACTTTCCGCACTTGGGTTGCGTGGTAGGAAATGTCCCATTATAAGCCATCACTGTAAAAGGTTTGTCTTTATTGCTGCTGAAGATTTTTGTTGGTAAAAGGCCATCACTAACGGACAGCACATTGTGGACAGGCCAGACCTCTGGGGTCAGTACCTCCTGTGCTAAGACCCCCCCCTCCCCAAGAACCCTGCTCAGCTCGGCCTCCTCCCCTTGCCAAGACAGCCCCCAGAGAAGCCGTTCCCCTTGTGGTATTTGGAGTCTAAAAGGGAATTTGTAAATTTAGGCCTTAATACTTGAGAGTATGAATCTAGAAGAGGAATTATATGTATCGGGAGAAGCAGTAGGAAAATACTGTTAAGAGAAAAGCTCTTCCGCAGTGATATCTTACCTACCCCAAGACAAGCCTGAGTAGACCGACAAAAACACTGAGATTCAGGGGTGCACGGGTAGCTCAGTCGGTTAAGCATATGACTCTGGATTTCAGTGTAGGTCATGATCTCAGGGTTGTGAGATCGAGCCCTGCCTTGGGCTCTGTGCTAGGCATGGAACCTGCTTTACATTCTCTCTCCCCCGCTCTGCCCCTGTGCCCCACCGCGTGAGTACTCTTTCTCACTCTTAAAAAAAAAGACTTATGTTCAGTGTCTGCAACAAAAAAAACCCCAGAACCTCCGGCCTGTAGTGGAAGCTCTGTCCTTGACAGGGTGCGTCCCCTCCCGTCTCAAGGTGGGGGTCGCCTCTCTTTAACTCACCGCACTCCTAGTTTTGTCCCCGGACCCTGCATCGGAGGAGTCTGGTTTCTCTGTCTCCTGCTGGTCCTTCAGGTGGTGGGGTGTCACACTCTGCCTTCACCTGCAGCTCTTCTAAGCTGGGCACCCTCCTCTGTCTCCGGTTCTTCCCCAGGGGCCTGGCTCCTGGACCGCACATCTGGGAGTGTTGGTTGGAGACAGACCCTTTGCTCTTTTCCAAGGCTGGAGCCCTGCACTTGGACCCTGAGAACTGTGCAGGGAGGCTGGGGTGCCCAGCGAGCCCCCTCAGACTTCTGTGAAGCCAGCCTCTCCTCCACAGCCTCTTGTTCTCCTCGCTCACAGGCTGCTGGAATTCTGAGCCCTTTCTGCAGGGACAGGCAAGGAGCCGTTTCCCTCTGATCCGGTTCTTACGGTGACCATCCCGTCAGACAGAAGCCCGGAGAAGCGCATCAGCTCCCTGGGGAGGCTGTCAGACAGGCCACTGGAGTAGTTCTCCCTGCATAGATCCCCCACGCGGAGCGGCTGCTCACCTTTGTTGTGTCCTGGTTTCTCTGGGTGGGGTTCCACTGGGCAGCTGGGGCTTGGAGCCTCTCTGGAGGCTGCCCTCAAGCTGCGGCCTCATCTGAGGGGGTGGACTGGCCGGGGTGGGGGTCTCGGCTCCCCAGGAGCTTGCCCATGTGGCTGTTGACAGGCCTTGGTCCCCTGCCTGCCGGGTAGCCTCTCTGTGGGGCTGTTTGCCACACCGCAGATGCTTTCCCCAGAGCCTGGCTGAGCGGGAGGGCGTGTGAGAGGAGCCACAGTCTTCTTATAACATAATCTTGGAAGTGACGTTCCACCGCGGCTGCTAACCCTAACCCCCACCTTCTCCCTTCCAAGCGAGTCACCAAATCTAGCCCCCACTCAAGGGGATGGGTCACACTCAGGTGGCAGGACCAGGAGGCGGGGATCTCGGGGCGGGGGGGGCGTCACGGACACCGTGTGCCACACCCATGTCTCTGTCCCCTCAGCTCGCCAACGATGAGACCCTGTGCTGGTTGCTTCACTTTCTTTGGGCCTCCACTTACTCATCTGGGGGAGGGGAATAATAGCCACAGCTGCTCTGAGGAATCGTACGGAATGAAATACTATGTGTGTGGTGCTCCTTATCCATTCCCTTTCCCTCAGCCCCTTATGCCATGCGAGGTAGCGACCACGCTGGGACCAGAGCCCCCCGGCCCTCCCCTCAGCGCTCCCAGGTCCTTGTGAAGTTGACCAGGAAGTGCCCCACCTCTGGGGGGTGGAGAGGGAACGTGCCCCGTGTGAGGCACCCCATGAGCCAAAAGAGGGCACAGGTGCTAAAGTGTGTTCTTACTCAATTCAGTTTTCAATTCATTCACCTCAGGCTTGTCCAGATCTTTTTTGAGGCTGATTGGATCATCTCTTTTAATCAATGACCCACTTGTTCATTGTTATTAATCAACTTTGTGCCTCTCACAAATCAAACAGATTTGCCTTCTGTGTCCGATCCAAGTCTTTGGCAAAACTGCTGAACGGGACAGAGGCCTGCACGAGCCCCCGTGGCCTGGCCTGCCGTGTGGGGCAACGGGAGGTTTTCAGACACTGGGCTGGCAGCGCCCCATGGTGTGACCAGGGCCAGGAGCACGGACTCAATCCCTGGTCTCCTGGTGCCTACATTTCCAGGGGCCGCTCTGCGGCTTGAGGCCCATTCATAGGACGTCAGCTGGCTGCTTTGGCTAAACTGTTTTAACATTTGTAGCAATTCCACTAGGATAAAAGGAGGAGACCCATTTGTCCCCTGGAGAAGGCCCCTGTGGTCCTCTGTTTCTCTCCTTCCTGGCCCTTGGCCGTTCCCAGTTCCGGGCCGTGTGCTGACTCTCCAGCAGAGGGTCCCCTCTATCGGCCTTAGGCCTTGCTAGGTGCAGTGTCAGACAGTCATGGCCGAACCAAACCAAACGGTCTTGAAAATATTACTTTTGGGGCACTTGGGGGGCTCAGTTAGGGAAGTGTCCAGCTCTTGGTTTTGGCACAGGTCATGATCTCAGGGTCAGGAGATGGAGCCCCATGTCGGGCTCCGTGCTGAGTGTGGAACCTGCTTAGGATTCTCTCTCTCCCTCCCTCTCTGCCCCTCTGGCTACACAGGGCCACTCTCTCTTGAAAAATAATGATAATAATAATAATAATAATAAGTAATAATAAATAAAATGTTGCTGTGAGGAAAAATGAAAACCCATCCCTAAAACTTGTTCAAAAGCAATCAAAACCATGGCCTCCAAAAGGAATTACTATAACCTCACCAAGAGGTAAAAGAAACAAGTGAGCTGAGCAAACCGGAAGTTGAGCTAACTGGCCCGAGGCTCCTCGGGGTGCTGGCCTACTGAAGCGTCCTGCACCTGCCGGGGGTTAGGCTCTGGCTGCCAGTGCCCAAGGTGGGACCTCAGGAGCCACTGAAAGGGTGGGATGGGAGCGGAATGTGGGGCTCCCCACCAGAAGGCTGTCCTTGCCTTCCTCGCAGATCCAGAGCTTGGGAGCCCCCGCTCTCCTCAGTATCTCCTCACGGGGCCTCCTCCCAGCCTCACCCCCAGCAAGGGAATCGTGGCCAGCTCTGGGTGACCCCTGGCAGGCTGTGGAGCTGCTCAGTCACGTTGAGCTTTTCGGGGAAGGCTGAGGACCCGCCCTTTCTCTGTCTGTGAATCATCTTAACCAAATGCACCCTGCAGAGACCCTGGGTCTTGGTGATTAAAAAAAATATGGCGGAACAGAGAGGAATGGCAAATTAAAAAAAAAAAAAGTTGGTTCAAAGATTTTGGTGTTTTTTTTTTTGTTTTGTTTTTTTTAAATATCAGTTTGACAGCCTGGTTTACATCCCTGAGTTTTGGTTACAGGTGAGCCCTTAAGGCTAATCCTGATGGAGATTTGGGAACAGTCCTCCAGGGGAACAGGATTCTTAGAGCATTCGTGCTGTTCAGCTCTTTCAGGGAAAAAGCAGACAAATGGATTCATCCTACTGTCTTAGGGACCAGAGAGTTTATCCCCTAGGAGACATTTGCATTCTGAAAGTACAGGGAGTAGTACGTCGAGGGCCTAGGTTATCGGGCGACACATGACCCAGAGAGGTGGGTTAGGGAAACTACCAGGGACGATTGCCGGACATGGAGGGGATCTGGATTGTTTAGGGTCGACGAAGGCTGGACCTGTGAAGAAGGCTGTGCTCACTTGCTAAACCTTTCTTGATGTAAATAAAACATTCCTGGAAAGCACTGTGTAAATTTTGTTCTTATAAACCCAATCCTACTTTAAAGACACTCACCAGGTTTGCCTAAAGATGTATGTTCTTCCTGAGGAGATGACCATTAACGTCTTCTGATTGTTGGTGGCTCGTTGTAAACATCGATTGCCTTCTTCGCTCCTCACGCCAGCGCTATCAGTACATACTGTCCATGCCTGCATTTTACAGGTGAACAAACTGAGGCACCAAGAGGTCAAGTAACTCTTAACCCACACTGGTCACACTAGTTAGTGACCACAACCAGTTGGTAGTAGGCCTAGGATTCAATCTCACTTGACTCCACATTCTCCATAACACTAGACTGAACGGTGTGTGCTCTCAGCCTCCCCCAGAACTGACATGGGCTGACCATCTCCCTCTCTCCACAGGGGCCTTGAAGTTTTCTACCCAGAGCTGGGGAACATTGGCTGCATGATTATTCCTGACTGCAACAACTACAGACTAAAGATCACCCACTGGGCTGAGCCCATAGTCAAGTTCCCTAGGGCCTTGGAGGTAAGTGGCCTGGAGGGGGAGGGCCATGGGTCTTGGTTTCCCTCTGAGCGTGCTCATCTGGGTGACTTGAAGCCATGGGCAGAGCCATCTGGGTTGGGTCTGGGGGTCCCAGGTGACCACAGATGCCACAAGCATGTGCTCTTCTTAGAGAAGCTCTATGGCCTTGGAGGAAGTTGGGATGGGGGAACGGGGCTGCAGCCTGGGCACTGTAGTGGGACTCTGGGGCCACTCTGCTGGGGTCTTTGCCTGCTCCCAGAGAAGCCTGGCTCCTCAGTGCACGTGGAGACCAGCTGGTGTGTGCTTTGGGGTTGGCAGAAAAAAGGAGGAGAGAGGGAGTCCTTTCTCCAGGTGCAAGGTGGCTCGGCTTTCAGAATGATCTTCCGGACGCGGAGGAGCTAGTTTATAATGGGCTAAACAAGAGGAGTAGTGCATCCTGACTCCGTCCTTACAATATGAAACACACCTGAGGGTTTGCTCGCACTTGTCTGAAACAGAAGATTGAAGCATTTTTAGGAATCGCAAATAAGTGTTTTTTCTACCAGGAAATGAGTAGTACTATCTTGTTCTGGAAGCTTCCCTTCGATTGGGGATGCAGTAAGCCTGGGGAAGGGCCATGGAAGTAGGAAGTGGGACTGTGGCTCCTGCTTGCCGTGGCCAGGCCAGGTCCTGGGGGCGCTGCTCCAGTGTTCCGGTCACTGTCTCTTTGTTTCTTGACTCCTGGGTCACACTGAGCCCCCAAAGTGTCAGCAGTGGAGGGCGACTCTGCCTCCATCTTTGCCGTGTTTGATTAGGAGGTGCCCATGTCAACCTACATACAAGGACTGTGATGTGGCCGGGAATCAGGCCACAAATGGGTGGAGACGGAAGCGCCACGGTCAGGATGTGACCCCACACACACCACGCGGACGCGCACAGCCTTCTGGTCCCCTCCGTGTGCAGCGGCAGGGAGAGGCCACTGACGGCTCTTCCCCTCTGTCCGTCCAGCCTGGGGACTCTCAGTGCTGCTGTTGATCAGGCCTGATGGCGGTCAGGACAAACACAACAAAACAGCAAGTTCTGGGGTGGGGGATCACAGCCTCCTCAGATGGAGAGGGTAGATTTTTCTCTCTCTCTGGGACTGTTTTCACTATCAGGGAACCAATAGACTGTGATGTGTCCCACAATTTATGAGACTGGGAACACAAAGCTTTGACTGGCTACTGTGTTTGCGATCGTGACAAATGTCCTTTCCTCGAGGAGTCTAAGCAAGCAAGTAATAAGCGTGCCTTCTGGGTCTCCTCTCCCTCAACCCTCCCAAGCCCCGTGCTCATGACCATGCAAGCACACACACGTGCACACCTGCACGTCAGCCCTCCTCCCTGGAGACCACTGGCCTGGGTTGCATCATTGGACACGTGGGAGAAGCAGAGGAAACATAGGACCCTGAGATTCTAACGCTCAGAACAGGATATGGAGGGCTGCAGAAGCAGGGGAGGAGCCCAGTCTTTTAGGGAAGAGTATAACGCCGCACCTGGGACAAGATGCTTGACTTTGCCATTAATTCACTTGTCCTTAGTTCTGCCACTGAAGGAGTAAGGAGGTCGACCCAAAACACTTTCGCAGCCCACTGACTGTCCCAGGAGGGATTCTCAAACCGCTCCACTCTGCGTGATATTATAGAAGATGTCCACTAGATGGCAGTGCAGACTTTTCTGAGTACCTGGTGTACTTGGTTTGAAGCAAGCTTGGGAAGTCTGCCTTTGATTTGGCTTGGTCCATACTGATTGTCCTGGGGTGTGGGTATGGAATGCATCACCTCTACCAGGTCACGAAATTTCCCACCCTGTCTCTGTCCAGAGGCGGGATGGTGAAGAAAACCTGGAGACTTATGAGGGACACAGAGCTGTGATTAAGAAAGCCAAGGAGGGGCGCCTGGGTGGCTCAGTGGGTTAAAGCCTCTGCCTTCGGCTCAGGTCATGATCCCAGGGTCCTGGGATTGAGTCCCACATTGGGCTCTCTGCTCAGCAGGGAGTCTGCTTCCTCCTCTCCCTCTGCCTGCCTCTCTGCCTACTTGTAATCTCTGTCAAATAAATAAGTAAAATCTTTAAAAAGAAAGAAAGAAAGCCAAGGAAGTCAGAAGTTTCACACACACAAAAAAAATGGTCAAAGTGATGGAAACAAAGGAAGAAAAAGTAATATTCTATTACTATAGAACTTGACTTTTTTTCGGAAATATAACTGATGTTTGACAAGGCAGATTCAGTTCGAGTTCCCAAAAAACACCATTAGTCAAGTGGTACCTACTTTATGCTGGATACTGTTCATGTGTCATTTCATTTAAAGTTTTCATCAAATCTGCAAATGAAGTGTTTCTTTGGTTGAGACTGTCAGTAGCAAGTAACAAAAGCCAGTTTGACTGGTTTTTGGTTCACAAACCAAAAACTCCAGGGATAGCTTCAGGCATGGCTAGATCCAGGTGCCCAAATGACATCACCAAAAATCTGTTTTTCTCTTTTCTCTGCTTTTTTCTATGTTGGTTTTATGTGTAAATAGACTCTTTCCTTGTGGTGGCAACGACACCCCCCATCAGCTTCAGATTTGTGTTACTAGCTTATCAATCCTAGTGGGTATAGGTTGACACTTTACAACCATTAAAAATCCCAGGATTTGTCCTGCTTAGATCACATACTTATCCTTGAACTAATGACCCTGGGTAGGCCCGTTAAATCTACAAAAGCTGAGAGCAGAAGAGGATGGTTCCTCCAAAGGAGAATCAAGGTGTTGGTTGTTAGAAGGGAGAAAAAATATTGGGTCAGAAAAACAAGAGAAGTTCCTGCGGAAGGATTTAATCAAAGCAAGTGCTGAGCTGGAAAGTGGCAGAGCCAGGGTTTAAACCCAGGTCCACCCAGCTCCAAAGGCTTGACCACGGGACCACTGACAATGGCTCTCAGGGGAGACATCAGGGTCCTGGTACCGTTGGAGAGGGCTTGCGGAACAGAAGCTTTCCTGGGACAGGAAGGAGCGGTTGCTAAGAAGGATGGTGGTGAAGAGGGGGGAGATAGGCCAGGGGCAATGGGAAATGAGAGGATGAGCAGAGCTTCCCTAGAGGGGTAGAGAGAGCAAACACCTCTAGAAAGAAAGCAACTGGAAAAGTTGGAGAGGAAGTGGATGCTACCTGGGAATAGGGTCCCTCAAAAGTGCAGGCAGGGGAACAGAGTGACAGAGAAGAGGATTGTAAGCATTTCCTCTGGGCCCAGGGTCTGATGAAAAAGGACAAACAGATAGCAATGGGCTATGTGGGGACAGTGTCTCGTTTCAAAGGTGATTACAGCAAAAGCCACCAAAGCAGCAGGTGCCCGTGGACATGCCTTGGGAGCTCCCACCACCACCACCAAGCAAGCCCCGAGGCCCTGGAAGGAGGGGGTCAGTGGGCCTGGGACTGTGTCTCTGCGCCTCCTACAGGTCTTCCCTTCTGCACACCTTTGCTCAGGCCACTTCCCATATTTGGACCTTGCATTCTGGGACACCTTGATCACACCAAAATGCTTTTTCTAAGAAGCCTTCCCTGATCGCCTCCCTCTTAGCCCTCTCCTCATCCCTGGCTGGTCTCTTCTTTCTCTGAGCTTTTTATTTTTTCATTATTTTTTTAAAGATTTTATTTATTTCCTTGACAAAGAGAGACATAGTGAGAGAGGGAACTCAAGCAGGGAGAGCAGGAAAGGGAGAAGCAGGCTCCCCGTCAAGCAGGGAGCCCAATGCAGGGCTGGATCCCAGGACTCTGGGATCATGACCTGAGCTGAAGGCCAATGCTTAATGACTAAACTACCCAGCCGCCCCTCTCTGAGCTTTTTAAATGTCCCCTACCCACCAGACCTAGCGTTTACTTCCTCTGGCTTGTATTGTGGTTGCTTATTTCTATCTCCCAGAACCTTGACCTGTGTATAAGCTCTAGGAAAGTAGGACCGGCCACAGCCCCTTAACAGCTTTGCAGACCCCATGTTGGCTGACCAGGTGAGTGAGTAGAGAATGAATGAATGGCAGGGGAAGGACACCTCCTGGAGGTGAACCGTGAGGTGTGTGAGTCCCATGGTTTGCCTTTTAAGCTGCTGGGTGCCCAGGTGAGCCAGGTGAACCCTGAACCCAGCGCTAGTCCCTCCTCCACCCAGGGTGGGGGTGGGGGATCTCGGGGCTGGGAAGGGGAAAGCCAGGAGACAAATCCAGCAGGTTTCCCAAAAGGCAAAGTTGTGCAGGGAAATGTGGACAGTCCCTGTGTCAACAGTCCTGAGAGCTGAGAGAAGTGTCGGAATAAGAAGCAGCTTTCTCCCTGGGTGCTCTGACAAACATTAAGAGGCAAACGTCTTAAAATACATCCCTTCTCAAGACGATGCAAACTGAAAGGCCCCTGAGAAGCTTCTTGACAGAGGCTTATTCTTCACCTTGAATTTCACCAGCTGGAAACCTTTTGAAGTGAAGAAATTGCCTTTAAGTGGGGAATGTGCATTGCATTAGAGAGAAGGAACAAGGAGTCCTGCTGTCCCTCGGGTTTCCAGGCGGGCTCGGTGGCTTTCTCCTTCCCAGAAAGCAGGTGACTCTGAGCAGCCTTGCCCTGGGTGAGGGCCTAGCCCCACGCCACCCTGGACCCACAGTGTCTGTGTTGCTGCTTCCTGGGGGCCACCTCCTTGCCCTCGCGGGCCCAGAGTGGGGACAAAGTTGGGACACAGGCAGTGGCATCACAGACTCTCTGTGCTGAAAGAGACCTCGGAGCTAACTGGCCTGCCTCCCATCCTTCTCCTCATGCACAGAGCAGCACAGGGCTGCTGCGGTCACAGATGATGAGTGGAGGCGGGACATAGGGCTCCTGACACCCAGGGTAAAGCTGGTTGGAGCAGCACCCCCCCCATGGACGGGGCAGATTCTCTTACCCCCGGCAAGAAAGGGCAGAGGAGGGGCGTGCATAGCTGCAGGGGCAGCCAAGTACGTTGGCTCCCAGGGCGGCAGCCCAGCAGGATTTAGTGTCAGTG